GCTTGTTTATCCTAAACAAACAGGCTCCATGTGCACATGTTAATTTTGATACGTTAATGCATAATAAATTTCACATTGAGAAATATATATCCTCTTTTTAGTCTTCTCTTTTCAATATAAAACGAACAGCACCACAGTGATAAAAGCAAAACTAGCCTGAGCTTTGCTGAGTTAATTGAGGCCCAATGAATATTTTGGATCATATAAATAATAAATAAATTGGCATATATAATGAAACTGTTTTCTATGTTGTGTCCACAAACATTACTGGTGGTAACTTGAACAGCACCAGAAAACATTCATAGCCTGTGTTTTGAATGTGAGTGGTGGGTTTTCACTGCATCATGATGTGTGTCTAAGCCACTGGCAGTGGTGAAGATAGGTCACATCTGTTAAATTAGTAACCATTGTGTGAATGAAGCTAGAGGTGCAGTGAAAACTGGACTTTCTTTATCTGTGTTATCTAATCTATTTGATTTACAGGTTATATGAATGTCTTCATTTGGGGCAGAGTCCACTGATGACTCATCAGAGGACGAGAGAGACTTATATGCTCAGCTGGCAGTTTAATAGGTACATCTAGCTAACACTAATGCAGTCTAACACAACAGTCCTGCAATAGCTCCTGCTTTCATGAAGTAATGTTCAGTTTTGACTGTTTTAGAGACATGTTGATACTACTAAAAGGTAATTTTACAGGCCGTATATGTTTGGATGTAGGTAAAAATACAATAGATATTGTAAGGGTGCTTGGTCGTGTTTTGAATGTGTAACTACTGTACAAGCATGACCAGTGTCTCACTTTCTCTCAGAGAAAATGACCCATTTAATGAGTAAATTTAGGCTCTAATAGGCTAATCCCTTAAACACAGGTTGTAAAAAGACATGACAGAGGTTACAGCCACTGACAGAATTAAAGTCTGACACATCAAAAAATAGCCAGAACATTCTAATTTTTCGGAACTGAGATGTTTATTAAGCCTTTTAACAAAATCCAAAATATAATTCATGATTCGAAATTCAAGATTCATGATTTTTATTTGCCATATATGCATAGACAGACAGTCCAGTCATATAGGAATAGAGGTGCCATATTATTTATATTATTTCTATTTCTTTTGTATCACATTTGATACATGGGGCATTTTTGGTGATGATTTTTTTTTTTTTTGCTCAGAAACCTCACGTATCAAATATGATACAAATGGTTTTACAGGGTTAAATTACACTTTCTTGATGTCAGATTAACAAACTGGCATTCATAATTCTGAATTTCTAGAGTGGGTTTTAAGGGGCTTTATGAGCCCCTAAAGTCATGCAACTTTACCAATAAAACACGTATTATAATAATAATTACTTCTAAAAGTGTACCTTTGAGCTTCTCATACATTATACTGGATAATACATCTTTTACAGTACTGTTGATGGACAGCATCAGATTTCACAGAGAGAAAAAAAAAAGAGCGTTGGAGTTAGTTAATTTTACAACCACATAAAGTGTGTGTCTCTGTGTTGATGAAGAACTCTGTCAGGCAGAGAAGTCTGAAATGGATGAAACAGATAACAGGAAGAAGTAGCCATAAATAAAAACAGCCGACTCTTTATGGAGGAATTGGATACTTTCAGTCCTATTGTAGCGTCAAAACTATAAATAGTCATTTTTAAGTGCTGCCAGCAGGAGTCTTTTTACAGCTGACATTTGGAAGGTGAAATGTGCCAGCTGCACCTGCAGGGAGTGTTTGACCCAATGACTGTTATTAAGTGGCATTAGTGCATAGTGAACATCCAGATGGTTGAGCAGGTACAGAGGAGAACAAGGCATCATTGTACTGGTCTTGTCCCACGTTTAAATGTTTTTAGTGTAAGGAGAGCACTGAGTCACAACCGTGGTGACATCTCTGTTCTCTTTTTCACTGAGTGACATGGCTTAACTGTTGCCTCACTTGCAAACGAAAACAGATTATTGTGTGGATGCTGAGTCGGCAAACTACTGTAGCTGCTTACTTATAGCCATTATGGGTAGCTCAGCAAGGGTTTGTATCAATATGGAAGTACCTAAACACTTGGTGTTGGTTTACAGGTGAGAACAGTTCAGATTTAAAGCCTTTTATGGAAAACCAGAGTGTTCAATAATAATAAATAAAAACAACATTGAAATTAATAATAATAATAATAATAAGCCCTGTCCAGGGTGTACCCCACCTTTGCCCGATTGCCGGCCGGGATTGGCTCCGGCCAACCCTGTGACCCCGTTCAGGGACTAAGAAAATGAAATTAATAATCATATTGTGGCGACCTACGGCGGCTATTGGGGAGGGGTCTGGCGGCAGCGACATGATGCATGGGGGGCATCATGGGAGCTCAATGATGACTTCGGAGAACAGTTGTACAAGTGTTTTAATGTGTTCTAATGTGTTCTGATGTGTTACCCTGTTGTGTTTATCTTGATGACTTGTATGTGTTAACAATGTTTTGCTAGCTGGTTGGGTGCTGTGTTTCTGAACCGTAAGTCTAAGCTGTATGTGTAAAACTGACCCTGTTGGGAATGTGATGTGTGAGTCTGGTTCTGTGTTCTAAATAAATGACAAGAAAGACAGAGTTGCATGGTGGTCATTGTGAGGGACACGCCCAAGCGCTATACACTGTGTAAAATATATACTTGCACAGACATTGTGAAATCATTCAAAAAGTATTAAAACTTAAAGTCATTATTTTGAAATGGTATTTCATCATTCTTAGAGTTTTTAGGGGTTATTTTTATTGTGATTATGGACATTATTATTTCAAAGTACTATTTTTCAAAAGTCTGTTTTTATTTCATAATGCCTTTTATGTCCTGCTACTGTTGTAGTCCAGATGGTGGGACATTATGATCATGCTGCTGTCTGTGACTCTACAATAGATATGCTCTTAAACACAGTAAATCTGGAACAATTCAAAGCAGAAACTCTCTACTTATAGAGCAGATGGTCTGATAGGAATTTGCATAAATGTGCATTTTAATGAGGGGACTGATTTCACATTAACCTAACACATTTAAATTATTACCACATAGATACCATTATGCAAGTAAGTAAATTTGTTGGTAGGAAAATAATACAGATAGAATGCAGCAAATTGAGTACAACTCAGTTACCATTAGGAATCCTGACTACTGACATATCCAACGATCAGGCATAACATTATGACCACCGACAGGTGAAGTGAATCACAATGATGAGCTCGTTACATCCACCTGTCTGTGGGCGGAGTTTATAAGTGAATAACACTGATGAGCTCGTTACATCTACCTGTCAGTGGGTGGAGTTTATAAGTGAATAACACTGATGAGCTCGTTACATCCACCTGTCAGTGGGCGGAGTTTATAAGTCAATCACACTGATGAGCTCATTACATCCACCTGTCAGTGGGCGGAGTTTATGTCAATCACACTGATGAGCTCATTACATCCACCTGCCAGTGGGCGGAGTTTATAAGGTAGCAAGCCAACAGTGCCTAAGGAAGGACAGATGGTGAAGTGGGGACAGGGTTGTTGAAGGTCAGTGGTGATGAGGTTGATCTAATGTAGCTCTTTTGCAATTAAATCTTAATGTTCTACGTGCATGCAGATGCTTAGCTGTTACTCTGAGGTAAAGCAGTTGAATAAATTTATGGTTTCTAGTTCATGTAGGCTACTTTATCTTGCATTAGTGAGAATTTAATGTTGGCATGTAGCGTTAGCAAAACTCTGCTAGCAAGAAGCCTTTCGGGCTGAAGGCGAACCAGGCGTGTGTCCTAACTAGCTCCATGTGAGGTTAGCCTTCCGATACGCTATTGTTTTGCTTTAGCTTGTTCATTTGAACAATGAGGTTAATTAAGACTTGATTTTAGGGAGTTTGCCGTGACTTAGTGGTAACTAGCCACCTATCCCCTGTTGGCTCTGTAGTTGGACTGCCAGCCTTATGGGAACAGTATCGAATGTATGTGAGTATTGAGTTTTTCTGCCACGTCTGTGTAAAATGGAGCCTCCATTTAGATTGAAGTCCAGACAAATCATCAGCTGCCAGTCGTCATTAATGAATGGCCTGAAAATTCTGTTGTTTAAATTAAGATCCTATTCAAAATATCAGGTTTTATTGACGGTGGAAGCAATGACGGGATTTAATGACATCAAAAACTATCGGTGAGAAACTTCGCCTTAAAGAATGGTGCCTGTTAACAATGGAGAGAATTTCATGTCTAAATCTAGATTACTAAAGGTCTTTGAGTATCCAGGAATGAAGACTAACTGGAGGATGACTTGTATAAAGCTGCAAGTAATGGAGTCTTGTAAGGTTTTTTTGTTTGTTTGTTTTGAGGTTAACAACTGAGGGAGAAACGCGTGTTAATTCACTGCTCAGTGCCTGTAATGGTCAGTGTAGAAAATACTAAACAGACAGATGTGCTCTGCAAATGGAGACATTTTGTTTTTGTTAAATTCTTATCATATATTTGACATGTCTTATTCTACTCCTGCAATACCTCCTGTTCATTCAAGGTGGCAGTGTTCAGAGGATCTCCTCACTGTTGGAACACAAGATGTTCCAGATCAACAATGGGAAACGCATTTTTACATTTTCCCTGTTCTAGAACAAATTGACACTACACCCCTTTAAGCTGTGGATGGGTAAGTTCACTAGAACAATAAACAATGGTGTAATTTCATACATGGATTTGTACAAAACATCTTCAGAGACTCTATGGGCGGGCAATTTATTGTATTGTTGTATGAAGGACATCTTTGTTCAGGAATAAAGGTAGGTGACTCGAATCTCACTTGAGGTGGATTCACTAGCTTTTGTTTACCTTTTACAGGCTTTGTCCATGTTTGCGTCATACTAAATTTTGAATATAGACCTTGTGGTATAAGCAAAACGTACAGAGCTGCTAATAATACATTAGTACTGTTTTGTTCAAAGAATTGTATTGACTGTACTAGTACTTGATAGTACTTTTATTACTCATGTTCACATGTTGCTGTATTTTGGCAATATGCACAACGTTGGGACTAACCATACTTTGCATAGGTGATATACACTTTGTAGTTCATTCCCCAAACTAGCCTGTTTGTGGCCACCACTGTTTTTCATGAAAGGCAAATAACTGTTAAACAAATGCTGTATTGAAGACCGTGCACCTGAAGAGCATCTGACCAGCAGAGGGATGAAATCAGCAGTCTGGCCACCAGTAATTCAGAGACAGCCATTTCAACATGTGGTGAGAGGACATCTTGTATTTAAATTGTTTATTTTGTCTAGATATTGATTTTGGAACTTTGCCGTGTCCCTTCTGCATGTACATATGTGCCTGCTGAAAGCCTTTGGTTCAAAGTGAAGCAAACTTGTCAAAACCAATATGATGGGTTGAAATTGTAGAGAATATGCTTTAAACTGAGGCTTTTTCCATTTCCCTACTAGGCAATCCTTAACCAGATGTCATTCTGTGGCCAGACCATCACCAGCGTCCTTGAGGACATGCATAGAGACAGGCAAATTTGTTTACAAATGGACCATTATTATTGAAATCAAAGCTTTACTACACTTTTCTTTTGCAGCCACTCCATCCAGCTGCTGAAGTTTTGTAAGTAAGATGGGGAAATCCATACTGGTGAGGTCATCAAGGTAGAGTATGTCATCTTCTCCATGTGGTTGCACTGCATGTGCCTGGACCAGTTAAGACTTCGCATGACTAGTCTTCACAACTGTGGCCCAGGCACATGCAGTGCAACCGCATTGATGACCATCAGTAGGGATTTCCCATCTTATGCCAAAGATTCAGCAGCATCTATGTGGGAGACTGTTTTAAGGGCCCTGACTAAATGTTTTAAAAGAGGGCTTGTTTTTTTTTTAAAGGTTTTTTCTCTTCAATAAGGTTTTCTCAGAATATGATGCACTTTGAGGCTAAATGGGACTTTTAATGACCACTGTTTTCTCTAATCTATTCATATTTCTTGCACATCTGAGTCTCTCCTAGCCTATGCTTACTAGTCACATTAATGTAGTAACAGCATCAAACTCTGGGGGGAAAAAAAGCACAGTACATAAGTGTAATTGAAGCATCTGTATTTATTTTTAGTCTCTGTTTCTTTGCATCTTACCATACCTTTTTACTCCACTAGATTTGATAACTTGAGTTTATAGTTTATTTTCAGAATTAGACGAATAAAGAAACTGTATAACCCTAAGGATAATCACCATGAGACTTGAGTCACCTCAAGTGAGACCTTTACAAGCTACTCACCAGAAGTTCAAATTATCCCTACCTTTACCAGCTACAACATTAAAATGAACACAATGCACCAGAAATTATAATCGAATAATATACACTAACGTGAAACGCATTCTATTATTCTGCACAGTGACTTACTTTTGGCAAATTAGGTATATTTCGATGCTAATGCCTTTGCACTATTATTTAAACATTTTGAATGTAGCACACTTGCCTGTAACAGGGCATCTCAGTAAAAAAGACGCCAGACGACAGGTTTAGACCTAACCGGGTCCTCATCAGGACGGAAACATACAGGTGCAAACAATTTGTTAAATTTCCATGTTGAAGAAGACCCGGTGAGGTCCAAACCGGTCGGCGACGATTAATAATAAATATAAAAGACACTTACATTAGTAAGACATCTAAAACTAGAGGAGTTATTTAATCTAGAAGACTACACATTCAACACAATTAGCCTGACAACTGACAGGCTCGAGCAAAGTCTGGAGGGCTAATGTTACCCTTTAACATTTTCTTGCTAGCATGGCTAACGTCCTACATTAGCATTCGGCTAACGCTAGATAAAATATACCACCTGAAATAAAAAACATAAATGTGGACAACTGTATTAACGGCGAACAACTGCGTGTTGCCTACATATAGAACGCAACACATGAAAATTTTACTGTGATTTTCTACAACTTTCTAATACGACCCACTGAGTAGCACCACAGCTACCGCTGTCGTACATAGTCCACCTCCACTACAATCAAACTTAACAAAACCGGTACTAGAGACTAACTTAAAGAACCGAGCTACCACCTGATTGGACAGCTTGACTCTGCTCTGTGATTGGACCGTCACTGTCCAATCAAATTCAGGTGTGATTCACACTAAACCTCAGTACAGATGTTCACAAAACATTCATGTGTTCAGTGTGTTTGTGTAACATAATTTGTTTACAGGGTTTACTCACACGTTCAAAAACGTTTTTATGTACAAATCTTTCCTACACATGCTCACAAAAATTGTGACCATGTACATACATTGCTGTTTGTACCATTAAATTGCCATTCATTTGACTAGCAGGCAGTAATGGGTCCTCCTTGTTAAGATTGGTGTATGCTGTGTGCCACCACTAAAGGGCAGCCTTACTGTGTGCTGAGAAAGTTACAAGACATGTTTTAGGCTTTTAGGCAAAACTGTGGCTTTTTCTATTTATTTTTACACTATAATATAGTGTCTTTATCTTTCTATTCGCTTGCATAGTCTGAAATTCCTCTATGCTGTATAAACCTTTTAGTGTGCACCCCAAGGTTTTCACTGGTCCCATCTGGGCCCCCTACTAAATATTTTCTGCAGGCGCCACTGTCCCCAGTATACTGTGCTCATTAGACAGATCACGTAACATTTTATGGTATGTTGTCAGAGTCAGAGCAGATATGGAAAAGCCAGAGTCCACTGCTGGTTTTCACTGTGAATGTCAGCAAAGCTGTGTGTCATTTCTTGTATTTGAAGAGCATGTTTTAACTTTTAGCTGGATTGATTTACATCAGAAAATAATTGATTGTATCTTTGCCATTTGGAAATAGGCTTATTCACACTCTTGCTTAGTTATACAAGAGTTATACTTTCATGTCTGTACAGTAAATATGAAGCTGGATTCAGGAGGAAACTATGTACCAAAAACATTAAAAGCAACAAGTTGTGTAGTTGATGAATACTGCTTAATTTAACTGTAGTAAACAAATTTGCTTACTTATTCCACTACTGCCCTTTATGTTAATGAAAGACAATACATGTGTGCTCACTGAAATCGAGAAGATATTTAACAAAAAGTGAGCATTCTTCTCACCTTTCACATTCCTTGAGGCAAGATGGGAGAAGAAATACCACCTTGGTTTTTGCTTTTCTATTTTTACTTCCTCTTATAAGTTAGTTTCTGGGTCAGGACTTTTCTTATCGCTGATGTCGCTGTACTAACCAAGCCTAGTGCAGCCAGGAGAAGAGGGTTTTCAAACTGCTGCACAAATCTGAGGATAAACAGATTTTTAAAAACACATTCCCTGTCTCCTGGCTTTCAGGTGAAATATTCCTGATGCAGTATACTTTAAATAAATGTTAATGAAAGATGAAGGTAAAAAAGAGGAAGATTTATTTAATTAAGGCATTACAAAAGGTACAAATTCAACATGATGGAATAAAAACAACCTGGAAAAACGAGGTATTTCTGGTCAAATTAATCCAAAAGAGACATTTACTGTTTTGGATAATAAATCCACAAATGCAAGTGGCTGAGTCAGTAAATACACACAGTGCGGACATGCGTATATACAGTATGTGTGCAGATTTGGTCAGTCACTTGACGCGAATTATCTCCTGAGTGGCCAGTCTGATGAGCTGGTTGAAGTCAAACTGGATGTACTTCCTCCAGTAGCGTCTGTCTTTGCCGTAGGTCTGAGCAGGATAACACGGACTACCTGAAAGACAGACTTCATCTTTAGTATATGCAAGTCTTTAACGAAGACATAAATGTTCATTCAAAACAGCGTCACAACTACTGTATGCAGTATTGATTGAGAAAACTTATTGAGAAAACTTATAGGGAAATCACTGAACATGTATAAAGGTGGCAAGACTGTTTAACATCCCTCAATCAGAGCCCAGAACTAGTAACGCTAATACTACATTAGTACGATACCGCCCTCTAGAGGTCTAGAGTTTCTATGGTCATTGCTGGTGGACTGTCTAGCTTTGCAGTGGAGGCATTAATAGCCAAATGACTAGTTTCAATAGGGTTTTAAAGTTTCACACCCAACGTGAGGAATCAAAAAGCTGTGACCAACTTTACATCTAATGGGAAGCTGATTTTGTGATAGAAGGTGTAAATAAAACATTGTTTAGGTTCCTAAATCACTTGTGTGTGGAGGAATATGACCAGATGTTTACACTCACCTATACCATGCAAGATTCTAGCAACAGCTCTTCCAGAAAACTTCTCATCACTTCGGTTGGCAAGAAAGCATCTGATATCTGCTCTAATCTGATCTTCCCAGTCCAACAGCTACAAACAAACACACAAGTAAACCACGATATTTGTGGCATTCAAGACACACTCAGCTGAAACTCCTGCTAACTGATATGCAAATTTTACCTTGTACTTGTCAAGCTCCTCGATGTCCACTGGTGTGAGTGTGTGGTCCTGCACTCGCCTCTTGTCAAAATACTCAGAGAGAACTTTTTTCAGCTGCAGACTGCGACTCTCATCCAAATCATCTATGCAGGACAGTACGCTCTGGAAGGCAACACTGCAATACAACACACAAAGTTATACAGTCAATGCAGACAAGCAGAGGACAATACACATACAGTACCACTGCACATATAAAGAACACACAAGAACACAAATACAAAATCAAGGCATACCAGCTGTAAAGCATTAAAATTACATGCTGTAGTGATATGAATAAAGCATAGTGTACAGGAGAAGAGCTGTGCAATTGGCTTTAATTTTGATGGACTTGCATTGAAGCTCAAAGTGATCTTCACCCTGCTGCATGTGCATTCTGGAAGCTCAGCGTTGTTCTCTCCGAAGTGAACATAAACATTTGACAGATGCACTGGAGATTTCAGATACATTTAACTGGAAGATAAAAATGGAAAGTTTTACAATAGCCTGTACCTCTTGAATGCTTTGAAGCAAGAGGTCAGCTGGTAGAGCTGTGTTCTCTCTTGGTCCTGCACCCGATTATGGAGGAACTGACAAACTCTGTCCATCTCCTCATCGCTGAGATCGCCATAGGAACGGAAGTAGAAAGATGGGGAGGAGAATTCAACGAGGACGCCACTGCGTCCACCTCCTGAAATAAATACTTGTCCTCAGTTTTTTGTGTGTTGATTTGCCAAGCTGACTTTGAGCAGGACACCACAATGCCCACCAGCTAAACTACACTGTTGTAATTAAATACAGCTTTTGCCCTCGGTAAGCCAGTGGGGTGAAAACTATTTTAAGACAACCACATCAGCATTAAGGAGAAAAGGTAAAATAATAATGATAAAAGAGAAAAAAGCAGCTTCAATATTCTACAACATTCAACAAAAAAGATTTGCTGGAAATGTCAGTATAAGAAATGGGCTCACATGACAAATATTAATGCTAAAGAAAAATATACACACACACACAAACACAAACCTCTATCAGTGCTCCACTGCAGCTGTCTGAGTCCTCTCTTCACAAGGGGAAGCTGCCATCCCATAGTGTCCGCAACCTCGACGACATCAAACTCCAGCTGATCACATGTCTCCACTCGCTCACCCGCCATCCGCCTTCTGGCCAGAACCACAGCAACTGGGGGACAACTGTAGGACAGAAAAGGTTTGTAAAATAAGCATGTAAAACATGAACAGGTCCAACAAATCCTTCAACAGTTCTATATCTTTAGGTAAACAAACACATTCACATTGAACACACACACTTTGCAATCTGGCACTAACACTAATTTTGGAAGGCCACTCAACAAGAATGCCTTTAAGACAAATATCCTACATTTTTGTGATTTTCTGCAGCTGTCTTGGCCCATCATAGCAGCTGACTTTACAAACAGACAAGGTTGGGTGGAGGAGTTCAATGAAGCGCCGGGGATGCAGCTCCAGATAGCAGAGCAATGTCTCCACACCTGAAACAAACACACACACAAAGAAGTAAGTGACATTGTTCTGTAAAACATTTCTCATTTTAACATGTACCAAATTCAACTTTTTCTGTTTTCACCTAGATACAGCGCATTGGGGACCACATCACTTCTCATTTCACACAGCCTGACTGGACCCATTTTTTGGTTAAGGTCACACTTAAATTCTGCCTCTCTTCTGTTTGCCTACCACCATATAAATTTGGTTTTGCTTTATTTTTCCCATAATCATCTGTGTGTTTCCACTTACCTTCCTCTGTGATATCTAGAGCCTCAACAGTCTGTTGGATGGGAATTGCTCTTTCATGGGTGTGACACACTCGCTCTCTGGACCAATCACGGCTCTCCTCTTCATGCTGTTCCTGGTGTTTGATTGGTCCATCAGCTTCCACATCTTTAACTACCTGCTCCCCTTTCTTCTCCTCCTCCTCGTCGTCGTCTCTATCTTTTTGAAGGGGTAGCTCCGCTGAATTGGGATGCGATGCCTCCTTGCAGTGGAAAAAAGGTCACATCATGTACTTGTTTTCTCTAAAATACTTTGTTCACTATACAGATAAGATGTCTTCACTGCAATAAACTAAGATTAATCAACCACACATTAGCATATAAATGTCAGTTTTTCTATTTCCTTAGCTGCCTATGTGTTGGTTTCGTGTTTTATTGGTTTAAAGAGTAAAATAGAATGAGATATTATAGACCGCTTTTCCTGTTTAATTACCTGTACAGCAGCAGGTTCTTGTTCATCTGTATGTGTAATGTCCTGCTGTGTGTCAGGGTTCAGGCTGCTCTCCTGATCACACACATCCATCATCTCCAACAGCTCAGAGTCTTCAACATCCTACACACACCGTTTCTTATTTTACAGGAAGTTTTAGTTTGAACACTAGGGACTAAAAAACATTTACTGGACGAACATGTCGACCACAGACACACCCACACCCCCAGAGGAACAGATACCTTGACAAGCTCCCGCTGTCTCCGGTGTATCTGTTTACATTTGCATGGAGGGAAAACCTTCTGGACCAGTCTCTTCACTGTGAAGTAGTCCACTGTGTCTGCATAGATATGCCGACGGAGCTCATGGAGGTCCCCACCCTACACACAAACACAGAGTAAATTACTTATGCTTAGAACATACTGTATAAGTGACAGCACCAAGAAACAAACCAAAAGGGAGCCACACATGAAGATGTGGCTCTCTTTCTGCTGTTGTCTTTTTAAGATCTACATGTGTTTGCTGTTTGACATAAATCAGCGGGGACAGTGCTGCGCCTTAACCTATGTGTTTGACATTACTCAGCGGGGACAGTGCTGCGCCTTAACCACTAGCCTACCAGGGACAAAGTCTAAACAAACACACTTTCTAAATAAGTTATTATCACAAGGATGAAAATAACACTGACTTTTCCCAATAACAAATCTTTTGGTTTGGATCGTCAACCAAGTCAGTTCCTTCCTAAACTGACTCACCTCTGGGTCGAGAAACAAGTGGCAGTGTGCAGGTTCTCCATCTCTCCCTGCCCTCCCAATCTCCTGAACGTAGCTCTCAAAGCTCTGGAAAAACATCTGTCATTAGGGTAATGCTAATAAAGCTCAGGCTGTAAAAGTCACAGACTGAAATAGTGACAACAAATAAAATGTGAAAGCTCTAAAACAAAAATAAAGCTTGCAGTGATCTAGTAGAAATAGCTTAACAATATAGTATAGGTGATGAGGAAAATATGAAAGTGCTTCATATGAAATCTACATGTTAAATACCTTGAGTATACTGACATATCAACAGGTAAATAAGAAGTGAGAGTCAGAGTTACAATAAGAGTCATAATATACTGTACCACACAGATGAAATGTTTAGTGTGCAGAGCCACTGCAGACCACTACACCTACCTTAGGCATGTTGTAATGGATGATGCCCCGGACATCAGATTTATCGAGGCCCATGCCAAACGCCACAGTGGCAACCACGATTCGTAGCTGCCCGCACATGAAGTTGTTCTGGACGCGACAACGCTCTGAAGCTGACAGGCCGGCATGGTATGACTCGGCCTGCCACTTCAGTGGTTTACGAATCTTCTTCCTTGCTTAACACAGAAAGAGAAGGTGTTGAGAGAAAACAATGATTCAAAGTGTGAGAAAGTGAAATCATCTACTGAAGAAAATGCTTCCACCCCTACCCAGCTCTTTCTTTCTCTGTCCTATAGGATTGTTTTGTGACTGGCTGCTGTTTTGGTGGTTTTCTTTCACCAGCGTGCCCTGCAGGCAGGTCCGTAGCAGCGCCGCCACACGAACTGTCTCCTCCCTTCTGGTGCAGTAGATGATGATGGAGTCCAGACAACCGTATCGATCACCTTTCAACAAGGACACCAAAGCCTTAAAATATAAAGACAAAAGACACACAGAGGAGAAGTAAGAGAATTGCAAATACAGACTTAAAAAATGTAAGGGCAAGACTCCAGGGGCCAGATGGAGGATGGAAATAGAAAACTACACTTGCAGAGAATTGCTGTTAATCTAAGAACTTGATTTTAATTATGCCTTGTGTTTGTCAGGCACACAGAGAGACTCATATGAATCATTGCACCTGATCCTTCTCTCTGTCCACGGACACAGACAGATGCAGGTTAGGAGGAACCGCTGCACATCGGACCGCGATGCCATCTTGATCAGTGATGTCCAGATGTCGGGCAATGTCCAGAGCAGTGGACAGTGTGGCTGTAGCAGTAAGTCCCAGTAAACACTGCACTCCCAAACGCTCCCTTAGTACCTACAAACACACATACAGTGCATCCAGAAAGTATTCACAGCACTTAACTTTTCCTACATTTTGTTATGTGACAGCCTTATTCCAAAATGGATTAAATTCATTATTGTCCTGAAAATTCTACAAACAATACCCCATAATGACAACATGAAAAACATTTGTTTGAAATCCTTGCAAATGTATTAAAAATAAAAAACAAAACAAAACAAAAACACATGTACATAAGTATTCATAGCCTTTGCCATGACACTCAAAATTGAGCTCTGGTGCTTCCTGTTTCCACTGATCATCCTTGAGATGTTTTTACAACTTGATTGGACTCCACCTGTGAAAAATTCTGTTGATTGGACATGATTTGGAAAAGCATATACCTGTCTATATAAGGTCCCACAGTTAATGTGCATGTCAGAGCACAAACCAAGCCATGAAGTCCAAGGAATTATCTGTAGATCTCTGAGACAGGATTGTATCAAGGCATAGATCTGGGGAAGGGTACAGAAACATTTCTGCAACATTGAAGGTCCCAGTGAGCACAGTGGCCTCCATCATCCCTAAATGGAAGAAGTTTGGAACCACCAGGACTCTTCCTAGAGTGGGCTGCCCAGCCAAACTGAGCGATAGAGAGAGAAGGGCCTTAGTCAGGGAGGTAGCCAAGAACCTGATGGTCACTCTGAGAGCTCCAGCATTTCTCTGTGGAGAGAGGAGAACCTTCTAGAAGAACAGCCATCTCTGCAGACTCCACCAATCAGGCCTGTATGGTAGAGTGGCCAGACGGAAACCACTACTCAGTAACAGGCACATGGCAGCCCACCTGGAGTTTGCCAAAAGGCACCTGAAGGACTCTCAGACCATGAGAAACAAAGCTCTCTGGTCTGATGAAACAAAGATCGAACTCTCTGGCCTAAATGCCGAGTGTCATGTCTGGAGGAAACCAGGCACCGCTCACCACCTGGCCAATACCATCCCTACAGTGAAGCATGGTGGTGGCAGCATCATGCTGTGGGGATGTTTTTCAGGAACCGGGAGACTAGTCAGGATCGAGGGAACGATGACTGCAGCAATATACAGACGCATCTTTGATGAAAACTTGTTCCAGATCACAATGGACCTCAGACTGGGGTGACGTTTTCTTTCAATAGGACAACAACCCTAAGCACACAGCCAAGATAACAAAGGAGCGGTTAAGGGACAACTCTGTGGATGTCCTTGAGTGGCCCAGCCAGAGCCCAGACTTGAACATCTCTGGAGAGATCTGAAAATGGCTGTGCAGCGACGCTCCCCATCCAACCTGATGGAGCTTGAGGTACTGTAAAGAAGAATGGGAGAAACGGCCCAAAAATAGGTGTGCCAAGCTTGTAGCGTCATACTCAAAAAGACTTGAGGCTGTAATTGGTCCTAAAGGTGCTTCAACAAAGTATTGAACAAAGGCTGTGAATACTTATATATGTGATTTTTGTTTTTTTTTTAATAAATTTGCTAAGATTTCAAACAAAATGTTTTCACGTTGTCATTATGGGGTATTGTTTGTAGAATTTTGAGGACAATAATGAATTTAATCCACTTTGGAATAAGACTGTAACCTAACAGAATGTGGAAAAAGTTAAGCACTGAATACTTTCTGTATTCATGCCATACTTTTCTGTGATTCTCTGACAGTTGCAGCAATTCCACACATATATAACATTTCTAATATTTCTGTGTGAGTGGCTGGTGGTATGCAAATGGTAGCCATTAAAAGATAATACAGCTAAAACCATAACAGTACATATTTCTGTGTATTTTCTTGCAACATTCAGATATTATTTCCACCTTAAATGAACTTCAGATGGTCCAAGACAAAACAGACTGGCCAATCTGCAGCTCAGGAATCTACACACCATCACACCATCAATAACCCACCTTACAGAGCCTTAGGTAGCAGGGTCTGAAGTTGTGTGACCACTCAGACACACAGTGAGCTTCGTCTATACAGGCAAAGGCCACAGGAGGGAGCTCCTGAGCTGAGGGAAGACACCCTGACCCTGAACCGCCCCCACCAACTAAAGCCTCCGGAGAGAGAAGCAACACACACACCTGGCCTGACTTCACCTGGGGAAACAGAAGAAGAAAACATACAGTCTGGGCTGGGAAGACTACTGAACATATGAGAGTTTTCACTTAAGCCAAGATTTCTCTTAGGCTTAAACTGCATCACAATCACTGTACTATCAAAACACCTCTATACAGTGGAGTTTCAAACAACATGAATGAGAAGTCCATGAGGAGTCCATAAAATGCTTAAAAGATCCACCAACCTCATCTGCTGAGGAAGATCACATGATTAATCAAAAGCTTGACATTATCAGCTACTTCATTTCAGTGCACAGAATGAAGATTATGCAAGACTAGATGTAGATGAATTGGGTTAAATCCCTCAATTATTTCTAGGAACATTTTATGACTTCATTCATTTTATGAATCATTTTATTATTGAGAGGGAAAAGGGGGATGACAAGTGAGAGATGGAGGGATAGGTTTTGGGATGAACTGAGATTAAACTCTCAAGTCTTGCTGCTACTGTGTAGACTCTTATGTGTACTACCTTTTCTATCGCAGCTTCTCTCTGTTTCATCGTCATGTTGGAGTGGATACAGGCTGCCTTCAGTTTGGCTGGCAGGCCTGACAGCTGTAAGCAACACAAGAGACATCACGATGAAACGTGTTAGCCGCATCGCTGTTCAAAGTGCGAGGGTTGGCTGGAGTGTTGGCTTCATATCAAGTTTTGGTTACCTGATCATTCATTAGTGAGACGAGAGGTGAAATGACCAGTGTGATGCATTTTGATCGCTGAGCATACAGGTAGGCAGGAAGCTGATAGCACAATGATTTACCCATCCCTGTGGACAACACTACAAGGGTAGAGAGACCTACAGAAAAAATGAGACAAACATGAATATACTGATCACAGATATAAATAAATACATAAAGACACTATGTTGTTATGTGGGTACATACCAGACAGGATCCTCATGATGGCCTCCTCCTGTCCTGGTCTAAATGACTGATAGCCAAGGTCTCTCAGAGCTGAATACACCTCTGTGGGTGTTGCTAAACATACACACAGGCACAAAGTTAATATGTGACTAAATCTATGTTCAGTTTAATTCAAGCTGCTGTTAACATGTGTTCACCCTGGACTTTCCCATCATCTGTGAGATGATACAGTGGTTCCACTGGTGGTGGAGGAGCAGGGCGTTCGTAGTCAGGACGAATCACATTCAACAACACCTCATCGTTAGATTTAAGGTCCACTTCATTTTCTTGCTGCTGTTGCTGCTCTTTGACACTGGAAGATGACACTGGAACACAACAGCACATCAGGATCAACACAAACAAGGCAAACAAATCCACAAAAGTATCAGTGATACTGTATCTATTATTTCCTCATTTTCAACAGGTTTCTTTCAAAGGTTATGATGGACTTTTAAAGTGTTATTTTCTACAAATCACAGGAACAAATGTTAATTGAGAGAAATGACAAGCTAAAGTGAGAACAACAGAAACAAACCTGAAAAACCACTATTTATTTATGTAGATGAAAAATGTATTAAATGAAAACAAGCTGTTTGCACAGTATTTACTACTGCACTGTCCCAAACAAAATGTTTAGTTGACATGGAAAGCAGCAGGCTCACTGAACAGGCGATAAGTTCAACACACATACCCAGTGGCTGAGGTCGCAGTGTGCCTGTTGCTCTGGCGACTTCCTCCAGAGTTGGCAGTTCAAACGGCTCGTCCTCAGCAGGCTGCTCCTTGAGAACAGGAGGTGGGGGGGCTACAAAGCAGAATACACGTGTTCATCTGTATCAACAACCTTGCCCCCCCAAATTAAAACATTCAGTTAAATAACATGAAGCATAATAAGCATAAATGTAGAAAGCTTCATCTATGCCCATGCATTGCATTTCTGACAAATTTAACATTTAAATAAAATGTCAGCCCTGACTGTTTATTCTGATTAGTGGTGCCTTATGCACAGCAGAGGTGCTGGGTACATGTACAAACTAATCTCTGTCTACACATTTCCACTGTTGTCCCTGACCAGTAGCACCATAGGCTTCTAAGCTATTAATCTTATGTGCAGTGCTGGTAAAGGCTAGCTTTATAGTGAACTGCATGCAACAGCTTGAATTAGCAACATACTGAACTGACTGAATCAGTGCTAAAGAGTCGGGCTGCAGATATAGCTCGCTGGCTGTTGTATGTACTGAACAGCCTTTGAACGGTAATGAGACCAAAAAATCTAATAAACTACACAGTCAGTGATTACAAATCTATGAACTGGGCTGAAGGAAGTGATTTAAAACAGTTAAGTGATTTCAGAAAGAAAACTGTTCATGTTGGTTTCCAATATGTACCATCTCATTTGTAATTTGGCACAGTAGTTGACATGTATTATTATTTTTATCTCTTATAAACAGGCAAATTAAACACTCCTTAAGTGTGTATGCAGGTCACTCCGTATTACCTCGTCCTTTGCAGTCAATGGCCCAGTGTCCGGTCCCTCCACACTTGTAGCAGGTGTCACCCTGCCGACTGAGCCCCCTTCCGAAGCCTCCTCTCCTTCCTCTACCAAAATAACCACCACCTCCTCCAAAGCGTTCACCTTTTAGCTGGAACTTCTGCATGGATAACTGAAACACCCACCACAGATTTACGACACCACTGAAATACATAATTACAGACACTTTTGTTACTCTGGACACATCTGGTCTTAAGATTTCTGGGACAACGACACAAATGTATTCTTTCTTCACAAGGACACAAGGACAAGGTGACAGATTTTATTTGTATATTGTATAGTGTATGGCTTCTTTTCAGTCAGCAATTTAAACAAGTTGATTTAACTAATTTGTACATTTTAAAATTTTGTTCAACTTTTGCTTAACCTCATTTTGTTTACTGAGAGACCGGGCAAGAAATCCAGTTTTAGCTTTAACATTTTCATTCTAAGACAACTTATGAACACACTAGGGATTAGTCCTAAACACATCAGTAAGACAATCCTGCATCCACACACAAACATGCACAAAAGGCACCTGTTTGCGTAGAGCAACCCCTCTCAGTGCGTATCCTTTGACATGAGATCTTTTCTTCAGATTTATCTTTACAAAGTTTCCCTCTGCGCCTTTCTTGCTTCTGTCAAATTAAAAAAGGAATTTTACACAGGCTACAAATAAAGATCCTAAAATACAATTCTGCAGCCCAAGGACATCTTTAGTCTTACCTGGCTCTGACATGCTCAGTGTGATACATTCTCTTAGATACAAATTCCTCTTGTATTTCTCCTAACAAGTTTTCCTTGGGCACCTTGACAGAAATAATGGTATTAATTAATAATATTAATAATCTTCACTTAACATGTTTGCATAAAATAACATGAAATAGAATATAGTATGCATTGCATTAGACAGGTGTAAATTTAACTGCTTACCTTTTGAGGTGTCTTGGTTCCTTTCTCCTCTTCTCCTCCAATGTCATCTCCATTTTTTTTGGCTTTCCTGTTCTTCACTCCCTCCTGAGCTGGGCTGTCATTTACATCACAGCTTCCCTCTTTCTTTTTCCCATTCCTCCTCTTCTTTGTTGCTCCTCCCTCCTCTGGCATCTCTCCCTCTCTCTGCCTCTTCCTCCCTCTCTTCTTTGTACTTTTGGACTTGGGACTAGTCTCACCATCATCTCCTGCCATCAGCCCTCTTTCCATTTCCTCACTTCCCCTCCTTTTCTCTTTTTCTTCCCATCCTCCTTTACTTTTTCTAGTGGGCTGTTGAGCAAGTATACTATTGCTGCCCGGTTTGTCACTAGTAATGCTCTTAAAAACTTCATCTCGTTCCATGTCTACTGCCCTGTCTACTATTTTTTCATTTCCTACTCTTTCATCTCCTTTTTCTTCTGCTTCTCTTCCCTTTTCTCTCTCTCCTCTTTTCTCCACTTCTATCTCCTGGTTACCTCCTCCAGGCCTCTCCTCTGCCCCCATCTCTCCAAACACCTGACACCTCTCTAGCCACTTCCTGTCAACAAAACTCAGCCTGTTGGCAAGAGATGGCCTTCCTCCAATTCCTTTAGCTCCTATTCCTCCTCTGAGAAACTGTGGGCTTCCTCTCAAGCCAACCAAAGTTCCAACACCTGCAGAATCACTACCCTGTTGTAGAGTTCCTGATGGTTCACCATTTCCTTTCATGCCTCCTGAAGCTGCCATACTTTCATTGAACTTTCTTGTGGCTCCTACATTTCCTCCTGAATTTCCTACACTATGTGTAGCAGATAACGATGACAAGAAGGTAGATCTGGCTGGAGAGGGAGTTAAATCGGCAGCATTGTTAAACTGTTTGCTAAAACTTTTACTAATATCATCACCACTATTATTACTACTACTGCAACTATTAGCATCTGCAGGTTCATTACTAGACTCGCTGACAAGTTTAAAAGGTTCAAACGGTTCTTCTGGCTCCACCGAATGGATCGTCTTCAAAGCCACAGACCCCAAGCAAGTCTTAACACTTCTGTAAACAAATACAGAGTTACAAGGAAAGCTCACACAAAGCATCTGTAGGCTGTTACTGGTAAATGTAGACAAAGATTTATATGGCTGTCCGACTTAATAAATAAAACAATAAAAATCCTATATCTATTTCTTGTACTTCACCTGATATGCACCTGCAATATTCAACAAAATAACTGGTATATAATTAATGCTGAATAATGCAATCATAATATGCACCTGCCATCAATATACTGTATTTTCTTCAATTTACAGCAATTACCTTGGTGAGGAGGGGCTTGCTTCAGGGTATGTGGATGTAGTGTTGGCCATGGCAGCTGCAGCAACAGCTCCAGGTGTCTCTCCATCTTTTAAGATGTTTAGGGGCAATCGTTTGGGAAGGGCTGATTTCTTCAGTGAGACAGATCTCTCCTGGAATAACAAAAGTTAATCACAAAGCAATCATCATTATTGTGACCAGTATATCAGTTCATTCCTGCATGATAATTTGGCAAACACATTTAAGGGATGGGAGTTTAAGGTTCTTCTCTCTTTTACCATAATAGGTGCGATCAGTTTTTTTTTTAAATGTGCCTCACCTTACTGAATGTAGCCAGGTTGTTTTTAAGCTTCAGGCCGTAATACTGGGCAGAGGCCTTTAGACTGTCTCGGTCCTGGGATGTCAGTCTGGAAGAAGATGCTGGCAGTGAACTGCGATTCAGATGAGAACCCCAACAGTCTGATTCCTAAATAGACAGGCAGCACAAAGACAAAAACAGAAAACAATAGAATAGACTGGCTAAAAGAAAGATGGATGATAAAGGGTAAAACAGTGTTAGACAATAACAAAGAAAATAAGGGGGTCTCATTCAGAACCACGGGTAGGTCTGCTATAATTCAGACACATAAGACTGTTGTTGAAATCCAGCACAAGGCTTGTTGTCTACTAGAACTTGTCTGACAAAGTCATGGATACTTTCTCCTGTACCTTTTCTGCCGTGTTGACCTCAGCTGTAGATTTTGACTGCTGAGCATGACCGCTGGCTGCATCACTGCTGCTGTTCTCTTTGGCCTGTTTCAGACTGCGGTACTCTTTATACAGCTCTGGAAAAAAACACACAAAGTGATTTTCGCCTGTCCCTGAACAGATAATTTAACGTTATGCTGCAGATGGACTAGATTTTTTTTTTTCCAATACTTTATTGAGGCATATGACAGTAGTTATACATAAGTAAATAGACCGGAAACAAGAGGACTATAACATAAAATAAAGAACATAAAAACAAGAACAACATCGAAGTAGACAATGTGAACAGGGGGTGACTTAATGGGTTAAGTTAAGTAAAAACATTCAGGGAAGTACATATATTACAAATTTTGATAGCTTTTTTATTTTCACTCTTCAGGATGGAGGAGAAATAATTTTTAATTTCACATAACAGGGCAGGGAAGAAGGGTTTAGATTTAGAGAATTTGCATTTGTGAATATAAAATTTTGCCATGAGTAGAATAAAGTTAATTAAATGTAGTTTGTCACTTTCCTTTCTATTATTGTTATACAGACCAAATAAAACATGTTCCCATTTCACAGCAAGGGGATAATGAATTTTGGAGGTGATGAATATAGAGACATTCTGCCATAAATCATAACAAAATGGACAATCCCAAAATAAATGAACAGTAGTTTCTTCTGAGGAATTACAGAAAACACACGATGTATTAATAGACATATTAAATCTTGTAAGATAATGAGCAGATGGGTAAAATCTGTGAATTAACTTAAAGGAGACCTCTCTTATTTTATACTTAGTACTATACATCAGATAATGGTCTAGCCAGTTAGCTAACGCCGTCTGTAACCAGACTGAGGCCAAGAGCCGACGATTAAAAATGTCAGTATAACTAGTTTGTTCTTCTCAGAAGATGATTTAGTTAGTTGACAGTTTTGTTTAGCTCACCGGCTGTTTGGCCTGTAGCAATATCTTAGAAAGGCTAGTTGAGATTCGTTACCGTAGTTGTATACAAAACGTTACATCGTGGTCAGAAGTGGCTCATCTTTTGCTTTTTGGTGTTGCTGTTTCTCATTATGTTTGGTAATACAGCTACTGTGGTGCCTGCGATACCACTAGTGAGTAAT